TGAACGGGTTACATTGGTGCCGTGACCCTTTGGATTCATCAAGCATCGACGTCATCTCGATCACCGTGGGGAGCTCTTCGCAATTGCCCTTGTTCCAAGTTGGTTGCTTTTCCTAACTTGTGTGGGACTTTTTGAATGAGCTTGTACATTTAATCTGCTCAATTCTCATCCTGAATAACATTAAGTGTTAGTTACCAATACTGTGTTTGCTTTTGTACAGTTGCACTATTTGGAATCTTGTTTCTTGTGATTGTGCTTTATTCATCTTTATGGAGTCAGCATCTGGTTCAGAGACAACTGGTGTTCCTGATGGGGAGGTTTCCTCTAATGTTGGTTTGGGGCGAGGGTGGTTTCCTGGGGATGGGGTTCAGACACCTAAAGTTGGTGTGTCATTTGCTCCCAAGTTTTGTTCCACTCGTCTCCAGGTTCCCCCCTGTGACATTCAGACCCCGCGGACAGCTGCCAATGCTGAGTTGAGTACACTCATTTCAAATTTGGCCAATCAGATTGGTCAGTCCATTGCAGCCCAGCTGCAGGGTGATAAGGGGACCAGTATGCCTACTGAAACCTCTAAGGCTGAGTTTTCAGGGGTGATGGCAGTGATAAATTCTCCATTCATGAATGGGTTGAAATGATGGAAATGTACTTTGTAAAACGCAACACACCAACAGATCAGCGATCACGTGACATATTGGCTAGGTTGATGGGGAAGGCTAAGGATGTAGTGAGGGTCACCCTACGTCACAACCCCTCACTTGACCATGTCCAGGTTCCTGAATTGATATTTGACATTCTGAAATAGCACATTTAGTGTACTGACTTACTCTTCTATGCCTATGGCTGACTTCTATAACACCAAACCATTACAACATGAGGGAATGATGGAATATTGGATAAGGCTAAACAATGCTATTGACTTTCAAATCAAATCAAATCAAATCAAATCAAATCACTTTTATTGTCACATCACATGTGCAGGCACACTGGCACAGCACATGCGAGTGAAATTCTTGTGTGCGAGCCCCACAAGCAACAGAGATGTGGAAACACAACAACACAAACGAGCAAAATACAAGACTGGCCAACCTGAAACTAATAAATATATGTACAATATATAATAGTGTATGCATTTCATACTTTGCTGACGAGTGCTTGCGTAGGCAGGGGCGTAATGTTGAGGATCCAGGACGTGAGGTCTCGATGATGTTCATCAAGTATTGCCCTGACCCCATCGTCTTGAACAGGCTCAGCATCAAAGCAGCTGAGGAGTGGACAACCACTGAGGTTC